TAATAAAGGTGTGAAAGAACGAAAAAAAAAAGAAAAAATAGAAAAAAAAAATTATTAAAATAAAAAATAAAAAATCATACTTACTGTAGGATTGCAGCGTTAGTGCGTAAGTCAAATTTCTTTCTTTTCTTTAGTTGTTTTTATATAAAAACGAATTATTAAAGTAAATTGTTAATATTATTAGGTAAAATTAACCATGTAGTAAGAAAGTTAATGTAAATGAGTTACCTAGGTTGAGTTTAGTGAAATTTATTGTTTCTATGGATTATAGAAAATAAAAAATCGGGATGAGAAATATTAAAAATTCAGTTTTAAAAAAATTGTAAAGAAAATCTCGGTTTTAAAATTAAAAAAAAAAATATTAAAAAAATCCGGTCTAACAAAAAGAAACCAAAAAAAATAATATTAAAAAAAATGATCTAGTCTAAAAAAAAAGACAAAAAAAGGAGACCAAAAAAAAAGATTCTTTAAAATTGCTGCTCTTAAAATAATACATAGTGTGAAATGATATCATTAATTGATTAAAATTTGAAGATAAACCAGCTCCTAAAAAAATATGTTTACCATATTTTAAGAACTAAAAATAAGAGAGTTTCACCATTTCAATCTACAGACTTAAATTATAACTACATGTAATAGAGCGATTTATTATTCTGAAATTGAATAACTGATAATATATTATTACTAAGTTAAGTCCCGAATGGAGTCTTGATTTAGACATAAAGCAATAAATATTTAAATTATGTTTTATAAATTTTATCTTAATATAACAAGAGGTCATTTTCATGGGGGAGCTTGACAACCTTGACATGCTTTTAAAAGATCTTTTAAGTGAAAGTTATTGAAAAAAAAATTGACTACAATTTATAAATATACAAATTGTTGATCTCTCCTTTATAAATAAGCTTCGTTAAAATAAATAAATTTTTTTAAATCTAGCTTTTTCTTAAATAAAATGAATAAACAAATGATTTTTTCTATTTATAATGAGTAAATTAAGTATAGAGAAATGGAAGATTTCAGTTTATTATAAGTTAAAAATAGTAAAATAGTAAAAATTTGAGGGAATTGCTAAACGTGGCGTCGCCTGGGGTTTTTTTTCAAATATGTCACATGATGTAGAGTAAATTTATTAATTGGCTGACGGCTGATTTTTTTAACTTAGCTAATTTTTGATTGCAAAAGATATTTTAAAAAAAAATTTTTTTGCAAACATATTTATTCAAAATAATCTTATCTAATGAAATTTTATTTGCAAATATTAAAATTTAAATTACACATTTACAATTTTTAAAGAAAAAAATCACTGTATTTTTAATGAAGTGATACAAATAAAAGAAACAATAGCAATAATAAAAAGATAAGTAAATTACAATGATCAAGAAGAAAGATGCTAATAAAAAAATGAAATAACAATGAAGTAATGGAAAGTAATAGAAGATGAAAGGGAGTAAAAAAGAGTAGTGAGAAGTGATAGGAAACAAAAAGGAGAAATATGGCATGATGGTAGATGAAGAGGAGTGATGGGAGACGAAAAGGAGTGATGAAAAGATGAAGAGGAGTAATGGAAATATGAAGAGGAGCGATGGGATACAAAAAGGAGTGATAAGAAAATGAAGAGGCGAAGAGGCGTGATGGGAAGATGAAGAGGAGTGATGGGAGACGAAAAGAAGTGATGGGAAGATGAAGAGGAGTGATGGGAGACGAAAAGGATTGATGGGAGACAAAAAGAAGTGATAAGTAAAAATTTCTTATATAAAATACGATTTAACTTATATCAATTAATTAGTTACCTAAGTTATTTAACATGGTTTTCATTAGTTTCCCAAAAGTTTGTCATACAATATCTAGCACTAATAGAAAATGTACTAACTTCTAGACAATTTTCACAACTAACAAAATAAATAAACTCATAATTAATTAATTATACAATAGCACCTACTATAATCTGCTATTAAATTATATTATTTTATACAATGAGACTTATCCTAACTCACCAATTATTTTTAGAATATGCAGTAAACATTTTCAAATATCCATTATATCACTTCTAAATAGGTTAAAGAGCAAACTTTTGAAAATTTCATTATGTTTCCTATTTATGATTTTATGATTTATTGTGAACCTTAAAACTTTAAAAAAAGTTGAGATTTAAACTCTTAAAAGTTATAATAACGGATAAAAACTTTGTGCGCTTATTAAATATGTCCAATAAAGTGTCTACTTATCCAAATATCAAAATAAATTTGACAAAAAAATATTAAAATTTTATTGTAAGAAACGAACTTGATGTGGCTTAGAATTGATCAACACATGATCGGCATAATTTTGAAAACCGCAGTAATTAATTTTTTTTCCAAACACAAGAAATAAAAATAGTTATTACCTGCTTACAGTATCAAAAGATTAAGCCATTAACTGTTAAGGTATATTACAGTATTAAATATTTTTTTTTTTTTATCAATGAAGTAAAAAAAGTTAATTTTATCAGGATATAAGTTCTACCTAAAAAAGGAAAATTTTATCATTTACATAATGTTTACTTGTATTATTATAAAAGGAAAAAATTAAAATAAACCAGATAAAAATTTTTTTTTTTCTGAAACTTTAAAATCCGAATTTTATTTAAATGACCAAAAAAAAAAAAAAAAACCCTTAGTCATGAGGTCATAACATTAACACAAAAATTCTAAATTAAGGTTCATTATGTAATATCAATTAGGGAAGATTTGCATTTAATGACGAATAAGATTTAACGTAACGTCCAATTTTTTTTTTTTTATTCGAATTACTTTTTTTTAAAAAAATATTTTTTTTTCAATTGAGTTATATTCGCTAAATTATAAGTGTTATATTTTTACTTAGAAAAATATTAATAAAATGGATACTTCAAAACAAAATTCAGATACAACTAAAACTGATGCTAAAAATTTATGGAAAAAATGTGATGGTGAATATCAGGTAAAAATATTATAATATAATAATATAATAAACAATATAGATATTTATTAAAATTTTTTAATCTTTCATTTTGATAGTTCCACGCTACAATTTTTTCAACTGATTCAACTGCTGAATCAGATGAAACTACTACCATTTTTAAAAAAGTAAATATTATGGATTTAGAAAAAAGAAAAGAAGTATACGGAGTATGTGGAGAGTGTAATGAACCAGGTACAGGAGGTGTTTGGTGTCAATCTTGTAATGCTAAAAGATTAAAGGAAAATTTTAAAAATTGGACTAGTGGAAATAAAAATATTGATGAATTTATACAACAATCACAACTTAATGCTTTTTATTGCACAAAATGTCTTGAATGGATACCTTTTGAAAATTTTGAAAATGTTACCTATATTACTAGAGGTGGTTTTAGTAAAATTTATTCGGCTGACTGGCCCGAAGGAAATATTGGGCAATGGGATATTGAAAATCAAGAATGGGTACGATCTTCAAAAAAAGTTGCATTGAAAAGTTTAAATAATTCATCTAATAATATAAGTAATGATTTTTTAAATGAGGTAATTAAAATAAATCTTGTTTATTAATATTTGTATTTTAATACATAATTTATTAACAAACTTTCTCTTTTTAATGATTTTAGATTAAATATTACATTTCAGGTCATTTTCATTTTTCTAATACTGTTATGTGTTTTGGAATAACTCAAGATCCAAATACTAAAGATTATATGATGGTTTTACAATATTTTGAGGGAGGAAATTTGAGAAATATTTTAACGAAAGGTTCAAATTATAAAACCAAAATAAAATATTTATTTTTTATTATAGATGGACTTTTAGGTATTCATGATGCTGGAAATATTCATAAAGATTTTCATTCGGGCAATATATTACATAATAATGTTAATGATGTACTATCAATTAGTGATTTA